CTGTCTGTGTGTGTTCCTTAGCACTCATATTCAAAATAGCAAAGGACTTTTTACCATTGTGCACCAAAGGGGGTCATGACATCAAAAGAGTTTAAGCCATAGACTATAGAACAGCCAACACCTCACCTCAAGTAAATCTGAGTGGCAGCAGTATCAGTCAGTGTAGCTCAGTAAGTAACATTCAGAATTCTGTTTCAAGACGTTTTGCAAAGTGATAATGAATACTGTCGTCAAAAGTACTAACAGGGCAAAACAGTATGTGCTCTCTCGCTTTCCCTCAACGCTGTAAGGCAATGGGAAGTCCCAGACTGGCACACTAATTTTATACCATTGCTAAGTAAATATCTTACGGTGTAATGATGGTGGAGCTTCGTTAAGGTGCTGTGGCAGAAGGGCCATTGTTAGCGTAAGTGGCCTGTTATCACGTTCAATGTCACAGCTCTTCCAGCTGATTCTCACTGCAAAGACTCTGGCTCCATAGGCGCAGTATGTCCACGCCCATCATGGGTGTGTTGTGGCTTCATCTTTGTACATCAGGAGTCCTTTTCACGGTCTATTTCTGCTGAGAACTTTGTGCGTCATTCTGTACCAAACAGGAAACATCAGAAATCTGTAAGTGCATCCCAAGTGCAGTGTCACTTGAGCTGTAACATGTAGAGAAGTTCTCGGACGCACATGCACTGCTTCCATACAATGTGAGGCTCATATGAAAGACGTCATCTTAGATTAGGTAACGTAAACCTAACAGTATAGCCGTCATACTCAAGTGCTGTCTTTATTTCAGCTTTTTCTTTCACATGCATGCCCAGCTCCCTTTTCTTTGTTACAGTTTCTTGATGTTGCTGGAGTTTTTTTCTGCACACACAGAGGATTAGATTTTACCTGGACCGTGCTGTATGGATGATACGATGTACAAAGAAATGGGAGGACTGAGGGAGCTGCAGCACCAACTAAAGTCAACCATTAAAAACAATCAGCTAATAAACAGTCAAAACCATATACTATATAAAAACATGGACGTAGTCTCAGTGATGTCACCGATTGGTTTCTGAAGTGGAGTTTTGAAGCCCAACAATGGTGGTCGCCATATTGGAAATGTTGTCTCTATCGGTGAATTTAGAATCAGGCAAAGAGGTGGAGCTGTGGTGGGTCTTTAGCCTTCTGACAACTAACCCACCTGTCAGTCACATCAGCCACGCCCTTAAATATGGATACCTCTTAGCCTCAACATGATGAAAACGCATGAGTTATAAATATATTAAACCCCCTTATTGTGTGCACTCATAAACAACATGAGCTATTCAGACCATTTTTGTTTTGTTTTTTTACCAAGCTGTAAACAAGTATCTTTCCGCTGTAGAAATTGGCATTTTAATATTTGTGTCAAATGAGGCTTCTTAGGGCTTTTACGGCCAGCCTCTAGTGGACACTTGAGGAACTGCACTTTTGCATTTGCATTACTTTTCAACGCCTTCGGTTGCCACATTGTTTAAACGCGTGAAGTCCCAATTTTTTTTTCTTCTTGAATAAAACAAGCTGTAATGAATCTTTCTGACTTTAAATATAACATGTTTGTGTATTTAAAAAAAATAAGAAGGAGACATGCTTCAATGGATCAGTCATGAATTATTTAGTAGAACATGTCTTCTTCATAATTCATGTCAGAATAATCATCTCTCTGTCCAGTCACTGTCAGCAGGTGTGTTTGATTTGTGCTGTAAATTCACCTGCTCTACAGTGACGCTGTCATCGTTTGTCCTTTAATAAAAGGCTTGTTTTGCAAAGTTTAAAACAAGTTGTACACCACGAGTGGGATTCTCTAAAAACTCAAAATTTTGCAAATGATTCATGAAGTACATTTTTAACAACTGACTTTGCAGCGAAACAAAGAGAGAGAAAACTTTAAAGGATCAGCAAAAGAAAATACCTGCTCTTCATTTGTTGTTTATGAACTGTTTCTTAATCATGTTATATTTATTATGACGTGTGCAGAAAAATAAGCAAAAGTACTGTATGAATAGTTAGCTTGTCAGTCATGGGTTAAGGGTGGAAGAGAGAGGGACGTCTCATCTGTCTGAAATGTTGAAACATAATTAGATGAATCAGTATCTCTGTATGTTCTTCTCACATGTCATGTCATTAACCCTCTCTGTATTCTTCTGTATGTGTGAACGAGTCAGAGGCCACGTCTCTCTCTCTGTCAGGCTGTCTCACTCCCTCTACACCTACTTGTTGTTTTTCTGCTCGAGTCTCTGCTGTGACATTAGTGTGCACTCTGTCTGTTAGGGGAGTTAAACTGTACTCAAACAATAAGAGTGAATGCATTTATAAATAGTTGATTAAGGAAAGTCAAACTAGTTGTCAAAGTATGAATGTTACATAGTGTAAAGTATGACTTATTTCAAACACAATGATGTCCTCTTAGAAACCAAGCTGACCTCCAGCATCCCCTTCTATAAAACATCAACACAGTGATGTGACACAGAGATACACACGCAACACTATAAAATAATAAATTAGATTTTTTTTTGTACAATATTCAAGATTTAAATGTTTTTTTTTCATTGTAAGAATATTTAATTGCTAATTATTACTTTTCATTATTATTGTATTATTTGTTTTCATATGCTTTGGCAATATATGTTACACATTCATGCCAATAAAGCTATTTGAATTGAATTGAAAATTGATAGGCACACAATGGGAACACACACGCAGAATCAGAGGGAGCATTCATAAAAGGAAAGCAGTTTAATGCAGTCCAAGGTTCTGTACACAGAGGCAAAAGAATGGGCAAACAGAACCAGAGGAAAAGCAACGAGGCAGTGTCAAAAAAATACACAGGAACGATATCAAGAAAAACCTGAGGATGAAAAATCATTTTCCAAGTTGGGAAGTCGTTCTTCCAACTTCAGTGTGTTTAATGTGATTTCAGTTTGGAAAGTCGAATTGTTGGAACAACAACAATAAAACAGCGTGGCTGCTAAGAGGAAGATGTGTGGAATTTCTCTGTTACAAGTTATAGTTGAGTAAAACGTGATGTGCAATACATGAATTAATACAAATTATCGTATCATTAACAAAACTAATTTTGCCCCCCATGTTATGGCGATTATGTTGGCAAGTCGGGCACTTTCTTATTTTCCGAGTTTCCAAGTTGTTGTCCTGACTTGAGCAGGCCTTCACAGTTCTTTTCCAACTCGAAACTCGTTTCTTCCTGATGTGTTGGACACCAGGTGAATGCTGGGTAAATATACTGACGATCAGGGGGATAACGAGACACAGGTGTGGGTAATCAGGGCGGCGCTGACTGACACACAAGAGCAGGATCTGAAACTGACAGGGACAAGGGTGAGTTAAAAAAACTACAAAATAAAGCAGGAACTAATGAAAATATACAAAATAAAACACGCCCTATTTAGCATAGCGGACCGTGTCAGATGTTCAGCACAACACATACAAACCTGATTTGATAAAAAATAATCTGAAAGATAAAACCTCTTGGATACCAAATGAAACCTCCTCATATGATTAGCATATCCTCGAGCCTGAAACATGCTCTCAGTGATTGCCTCTCATTTCTTTTGTGTCAGGATCCTTTTTTCTCCCCGTCAAAGTCGTCAGAAACACGACATGTCTGAGGCGAGTTCAGCTATATGGTGGCAATAATGGTTTCTCTCAGCAGGATGTCAACCGTGTAAAAGTTGATGGAGAAGTTTGTCAAATGTGACACCATCTTTTCTATCAGAGACACGGTCTGATAAGATGAATTCATCTCTGCGCCGTATAGACAGTCACCATGAAGGAACCGTTGCACAAAATAATGTCCTTTTTCCTCCTCTGCTGCGATCACTACCAGAAGAGGAAATGAAAACCTGATCTTCACTTAAAAAATCTCTACGTCTTATTGCATTTCTCAGATTGTTCTTTAGTTAGCATTAATCATTTTTAAATAACGAGGTTACATTTTCTAAAATGTGGTCAGAATGTTAAATAGTCTCACCTTCAGGGCGATTGATTTATTTACTTTTGTTCACCGAGAGAGGAGTTAACACAAGGTTGAACAATGTGTATAAAAAGTATAGCGCTGTGCCCTTCGGCAGTTCTCATGCTGAGCCTTTTACCTTTTAAAACAGAGCGTCTTTAGAAACATCCATGCTTCTTTTTTTTTACTGCTTGACTTCAGTGTGCACACAGACATCCTTTAGATGTTTCATGATTCTGGTGGTATCTTTGTGTGGTTTAGTGTGATTGTGTATATTTCCCGTTATGTTAGCCATTGCTGTCGATCTCTGCACTGGTGCTTTGCATTGTGGGAAACAGTAAGCGAGACACTGTTCTGATGCAAACTGTGACTTTTTCCTGAATCAGTATTACATCCGGGAATTTTTGGCATACTCCATATTTCACGTGTTTGCATATTGCATATTGCATGCTGCATATTGAGCAGTTTTTACACCCAGGGGTCGTAACAAAAGATATGGCAACATATATAGAAAAAAAATATGAAATTCCTGCTTCTATACATGGAAAAAAAGAGGAAATATCTATGCATTAACACAGATGTATTGATTCTATTTTTGTCGATCATCTCTCAACTGGAAGGATTAGTTAACGCTGATGGACAGTTTTCCATAGCAACCTCTGCCATCAGCGTGTTAATGGGTCTGAATGTTTAGGTGTGACCTCCGGTGTTAAAGCACTTTGAGTAGACAGAAGGTTGGAGAAAAGCGATTAGAAGCTCAAGTCCATTTACCTTTTGTGAACAAGCCACTCTGAGATTTCAGGGGCAGACTGTCTGAAATGTCTTACATTTGTGCACATTGAAATTGGCTTAAGACTAGTGTGTGTAGCAGGTATGAAACCTGCTCCGTCCCATCCATTATAGCTATTAGGTTCTTCTGTGAGGGCCTCCAGCTGTCTGAGGATGTGTGCAATGAACAGTATCCTTTGTTCAGTCTGATGTTATTGACTTCCTGCCGTCTCCCTGTCTCTTCCAGGCCTGAGAATCAGTGGGACATGTCGACCCTGCGCTTTGGACAACATCTCATCAAGGCCTCGGCTGTGTTCCTGCGGACGGAGCTGTCCTTCGCTCTGGTCAACAGGAAGCCCGTGGTGCCCGGACGTATCTTTTTCATTTCTTACAGCTGAAAGGTCGGCCCGCTGAGATGCAGCTGTTTGGGTTTTGAAGTAAGTGTTTGTATTCTAACATACCTGTGCATCTGAGGTGCGGTTTTGTATGCACTCTGGTATTTCATAAGGCTGGATGGAGGGATTATATTGATTTTGAAGTTTCCTTCCAGATATCAGTTGTTTTTTTTCCCCCATGAAGCTTTGTTAGTAGCTGCCTTTCACAATCCACGCCACCACAGCTAACTTACACATCCTACATCTATTAAACTGAGCTTGTTTAAGTTCACGCATCCAACCCTTTTTAAGCTTTGAATAGTATCTTAAAGGCAGGGTTGGTAATTTTCTCCAGATCCACTTTTTAAGATGTTGGTTGAAATTGTCTTTAGGTCCTGACAGAATTAATAACTCATGCACTCTGAAAAAGGAACAAAGAAAATCTGTCATTTGTTTCAGTTGTAAGTGTGTAAAAACTTTGACCAATGTCTGCCACGAGGTACCAATCTGATGAACCAATCAGGCGCCTCCCTGTCTCCCTGCTAGTTCCCTATGCCGTGCATGTACGAGCCCACACTCAAAGCATGAGCTGAGGTCCGCTTCTGGACCCATAGGGCTTGTGCAGTAAGTGAGGGGGCGTGGCTTTTGAGGGTGCAGACGAAGCACTGAGGAATGCTGCTTTAAAAATCATGCTAGTTTTCCAAAATGACCAACCCTGCCTTTAAATAGGGGAATCAACCGATTAGGTCGCACCTCATGTCGGAAAATGTCTATGAGATATCTGATAGACCTTTTTTACATAAAAGAAATTGCACAGGCAACAGTTTGATCAATAAATGGGATACAAAGTGTAACAGTCAACTACCCTTACATCTTCAGAACATCTAAACGAGTTTTTAATCTGCGCTCACACCAGCAACATTATATGACCATAAAGATAATGGTCCTGTAAATCGCTGAATAAACTAAATTAAATGTATCTTACTTTGCAAGCTTAAAGGCCAAAATCATTTGTATGAGAGTTAATGGAGCAGCATCATTTATGGCTCAGCTGTGACTGATAAAGGATCAGCTTCAGTACGTTTGGCTCAGATTGTTGTGCAATATGAGTAAATGTGCAATATGCTTTTTGTTTGGGGTTTTCATTATGCTCTGTCTACATGTGGATTGTGTTTATTGTTTTTTTTTTATGTATTAATTTAAACTTCTGTTGAGGCATCTAAATGAAGGAGCACTTGGAGTGTAAGAAAAAGTATCCTGTCTTATCTTGTCTCGTTGCATCTTGTCGTATTGTACTAATGGTTTCCCATCTTGTCCTATGGTATGGTTCCTATTGCTATGGTTCCTAATGGTATATCATCTTGTCGTATGGTATCGTACCTAATGGTTTCCCATCTTGTCCTATGGTATGGTTCCTATTGCTATGGTTGCTAATGGTATGTCATCTTGTCCTATTGCCGGTATTGCCTCTTGTCGAATGGTACCCAATGGTACTGCGTCTTGTCGTATGGTATCTAATGGTTTCTCATCTTGTCATATGGTATCTAATGGTTTCTCATCTTGTCATATGGTATCTAATGGTTTCTCATCTTGTCATATGGTATCGTACCCAATGGTACTGCATCTTGTCATATGGTCGGCTGGTATCCTGTCATACTTTATACTAACGTACTGTAGTGTAATGTATTGTTTTGATTGTATCATTAAAATATGCTAAATCTCGGGGTGCAGATGGCCTATGGCGGTTAGGTAGCTGTAGTCCTCAAAGCACTTGGCCTTGGTACAAGTCCGACCTGTGGCTCCTTTACCACGTTATTCAACACTCTCTCTCTCTCTTCCTGATTTCTTCCTCTATCCACTGTCTTATCAAATAAAAGCATAAAAAGCCCAAATCTTTAAAAAAAAATCATGCTGAATCTTTAAGTCAAAAGTTAAAAAAGCTATTAATATTTATTTTTAGGTTGAAAGACTCTAAATGATTGGAGTTGTATGCTTTATTTATCTTGCAGATAATGAAGCCTATATATTTTTGTATCATATCTAATGGGACTGACTGTACTGTATCCTACCGTTCTGTATTTAGCTTTGAGATATGTAGTATGATCACTTCTGTACAGTCCTCACTGCAGTCATCAGGGTGACCTCAGCTTTGTGCTGCTATGTCAACACTTAACTTCAATTATAACTTTTGTTTGTAGATCATTCTTCAGCTGCTATACTCTAATAGAAAATATATTCCAGAAGTCTAAGAATATAACTTATTTTCCCAGACTTTAAAATGTAGAAAAAAACGAAACAACAAAACACCCGAGACTTGAGTTTCAAATAATCAGCTTTACTCTGGAACAGGTAAGTGCTAATACACGTAATCTCCCATACAGGATGGAGTCGCAGTGTTTTTTAAATCCCAAATGACTATGACAGTGTTTGTTTACGTCTGGGTCGAAGCAAGGTTACTGCTATCCAAATGACAGAGAGGTGGGTAGGACTGCCAAAATGCTTGTTTGTGTTTTCATGAGGGTTTTTTTTTTTTATGTATAGGGCCACAGGATATAGCAGTTGTTGTTTTTAATGGTTATTCTTAGACTGCTAGATAGAAAGATCCCTTTTGATTGGTGACAGGAGAATACAACGTTTTATTTATTGCAGACATCTTTTCTTGATGCAGGTGTTTGTGCTTGAAATTTTAAATGCACTTCATGTCTCCCAGCTGCATTCAAGTGTATGGGTGAAAAGTGTCCTGACTTTGTCTTAACACCAAAGCTGAGGTCACATCCAGCAGCCGCGTACTGTTGCTGCATCTCAGCTGCCGCATCTTCACATGGACGTAGTCTCAGTGACGTCACCCATCGGTTTCTAATGAGTCATTAGGAAGCCTAACGATGGTAGTTACTGCAGTACATTGGAAACACTGGCTCTACCTAAATGTCTTTGATATTTGCGTGCATTTCCGCCTTTGAACACTAGGTGGAGTCTCGGTTTGTGCTGAGCATGAAGCCATGACTGCAGGTGATTGGCACCAGGTGTGAGTGGAGGCAAAACGTTTTCGACCGTGCCGGTGTGGAAGAAAGAAGTCAGTGTTTGTATCATCTAATATGTAGTTATTTATTGGACGTTGCTAAGTATGTTTTCAGATTTTTGGAATCCTGAGTGCATTTGTGACTTGACATTAATGGATCAACGGATCCAAACTGTAGTTTAGTGAACATAGTTTTTGTTGCTTCGACCTGAACACGCGTCTAAGCTGGTTCCCCAGTTCATGTCTTAGTCACTTATTGAGATAAATATTAGATGTGTTTAAATTTGTCTCTAAACGTGTTTCATCGCGCATGATCGCACCCTGGCTGTCCACGCTGCATCCGTTAAATATATAATTCTTTGCTGTAATTTTAGTTTCCCGCTGCAAACTGTATGACATGCTTTTGACGTGCTTTTGTATTGAAGGGGGACAAACGGATGTGGGGTTTCTTTGTGTTAGCAAGCCATTGACTCATCACAACAATTACCGTCAGTAAACGACTCGCGGTGAGCTGAAAAAAGTTTTTCTTCGTGTCAAATCCCAACTTTTCAATCATCAATGTAGATACTATTTAAGCAGCGTTATCTCCACTTTGTACATCAAGCTAACAAGCTCTGTTGAGTGACAAAAAGTGAGTGTCAGTGTCCATGTAGAGCCAGCTCCTGCCTCGTTCTTCGTCCTTATATGTGAGCGACTGAGAGGAAATAATACGACGTGTCGGGGTAAAAATGGCGCTCTGCGGACACTCCTATAGGCAACATGCGTGCTGTTAGGACAAAAAGGAAGACTAAAAATATCCAACTTAGTTTTTAGCAATAGCTATTGAGATACTTTAGTCTCACATTGCCATAGCAACACTTAATAATGTATATGTTTGTATATATTGAAGCCTGAATTACTTTCCAAATGAATGAATACTTTTATAATGCAGTAACTCAGATACTTTTTGATAGTGGTAACTGTAACTAGTGACTAATTTTAGTTATCATCACTGGGATTTAGAACATAACTTTAAAGCTGCAGAGTGATGAGATTGTGATGTAATGATGATTAGAATAAAAGAAAGAGCCTGGCAATAGCATGTAGTCTCTTATTTCAAACGAAGGCCCGGTTCCTGCAGTATGAAATCAAATGTCTGGTCTGGAGACCTTTAGACCTGTAGAGGGTGAAGACAGCTGAGCATTTGGAGGGTTAATGCATTCATGAAAAACCCAACACTCAGACTAACTCTTTTGTCCTTGTGTCCGTTCTCCGTCAGTGTAAATAAAAAAACTCCCCGTGTTGTATAAGACAGCGTCCCTGACAGTGATCTGCAGAGGAATCAGTCCCTGTCTCTCAAAGTCAGCGTTTGTCTCATTGTTTCTCTCCGACTTGACGTAAACATTTGCCGCTCAATGGAGCACTTCCTAAAGCCTCTTTTCGTTGCCAGGCAACAGATGCTGTTTTTTTTAACAGAGCAGAGGCTGCCCTAGATAGAGAGGCTATATGGGCAGATGTTTACCCTACACATATAAAAGGGATGGATTGTGACAGGAGCTGTTGAAGGTTACCTATAGGCCTGCTTCTGTGAAGAATTTGTTTACTTTCTATTTGTTTGGTTGATTGCTGTGTTTTTATTTCCTTTGTTTCACGGATGTCTGGTTGACTTGTAAATATGTGTGCGTGCCATGCAGACAGAGAAGGTCATGATGTCTTGTGGACTCTATCCTCAGCATTCTCATTGTGCTTTGATAAAACGTAACTTCACCCTATTAATCATAATTTCCGTTCAGCCTGACTTTTTAAAAAAGGCCTTGCGAAATGATTTCTATTGCCGATGAATAATGTTCCTTTCTCTTTCTGGAATGATAATCAGTTCTTGGCTTTGTGCTCAACTTCTCGAGTGCAGCACTCGCCTCGCACTACTCCTCCACACTGGGATTAACTCAGGACCAGGGAGACTTATTTCTCCGCTCGTCCATACACCTCCACTCTCAGGC